CTATATCGTATCGCATCGCCCGAGATAGAGGAGCTCAGGAAACAATTGAAAGAGCTGCTAGATGGTGGTCACATTCACCCATCAAAGGCACCTTTCGGCGCGTCAGTATTGTTCCAGAAGAAGAAGGATGGATTGTTGCGCTTATGCATAGACTACCGAGCACATAATAAAGTCACAATGAAGAATAAGTACCCGATCCCACTCATTGCTGACTTGTTCGATAGACTTGGGCAAGCCAAGTACTTTACCAAGTTGGATCTTTGATAAGTTGGGATTTTAACGTGTTTTATGCCCCTACTTGCCTATGCTTTGGTTATAAATTGCTACAAAATAGTCCCAAAATGCTCACAAGTTATACTTGATTGCAGGTTTGATCAACAAAGCGACGAATGTCAAATATCGGCTCAGAAAGGAGTGAAACCTGCTCAAGTGTCAAAGACTAAGGAAGTTGAGGAAAAGAGGACCTAGTGCGGACCGCGCAACTGTGAACGCGGCCGCACTAGGAGGTTCAGAGGATGGCAGATTCAAGGAGCCTGCTATGCGGCCGCGGTCATTTCTACGCGGTCCGCGGCCAGGCTCCGCGGCCGCGCTACTCTTTTACGCGGTCCGCGGAGCAGAGATTCAGAGAGCAAAAATTTGGCCACTTCCAAGCAAAGTGGCTCGCGTTCATTTCTGCGCGGCCGCGCTAACTTCCACTGTGGGCGCGCTACATTTTCACGCGGTCCGCGGTCCTCAACTTCAGAAAAGCAGAAACCAGGAGTTCAAGAGCCAGTGCGGCCGCGGTCATGTTTGCGCGGTCATGTTTGCGCGGTCCGCGCTGACCCCGCAGGGGTATTTTTGTCTAGTTTTTCTAGCCTAGTATAAATAGGACCTTTTTCCATTTTTAGGTTAAGTTTTATGTTCTGAACGCAGCTGAGCTCGTGAGACCGAATATTGTAGCCATTTTTGGCACTTTTGCTCTTCATTATTGTATTTTCTTCCTAGCAATTAATTAATATGCTTACTTCTTCATCTATTTCTTCAATTTCTGTATCTAGCATGAGTAGCTACTCACTAGCTAGGGTTGTGGCTCAACCATAGTGTGGGTAATTGATGGGTGTTGCCATCTAAGGTAAGATTGATATTGGGTGTTTGTTATTTGGGTTGATTTTAGGTTTTAATTAAGGATTGGTGGTTGCAAACACTGATTCTAGCTTTGTGGGTTTAACTCTTCTTGAGAAAGAGCCCATAACCCCAAAATTGACCCAACAAGGAATTGGGATGGACCCATGAGAAATGGTAGTACCAATTAACAGGTTAAATCTCGAGAGAGTAATCACCCTACTTGAACCCTAGTTGCTTGGTTTAATTGGCCTACCCAATTGATCTCGAGAGAGTCAATTGGGCAAAATCACTCTCTTTACCGAGAGGTGCGAGAGTGGGTACAATTGTACAACGGTTATAGCATAAGCCCCAAATATGTCAATCTATCCTTAGTAGCATCTACCCATTAATTAGCCACCTAGGCAATGCCACGACCCTAGTGCCTTTCTCTATATTAAATATAACTTAGCAATATTTTCGTAGCATAATTTAGTTTTAATCATTAGTTTTATAAAAGTAGATATAAAAATCAAAGAAAAACCAAAGATGTTTGAAGTGATATTAGAAGCACAACCGCATCACTAGTCTAGACAGATAATACAACTCCACTACTAGCTCCCTGTGGAAATTCGATCCCGAACCACTATTCGGGTAAAAGCTATTGCGACCCGCTCTTCCTACCTTAGTGTAGTGTCGAGTCGGCAGCGATCAATCTTCGCAAGGGCTACTACCAGGTTCGCATTGCAGAAGGGGATGAGCTGAAGACAACATGTGTGATGAGATATGGAGCCTTTGAGTGGTTGGTGATGCCCTTCGGCTTAACCAATGCACCGCCACATTTTGCACCCTTATGAACAAGATTTTCCATCCCTACCTTGATCAGTTAGTGGTAGTCTACCTAGACGACATAGTCATCAACAACAACACCTTGGAGGAGCACATGGAGCACTTAAGGAAGGTTTTCCAAGTCTTGCGGGAGAACGAGCTATATATCAAGAGGGAGAAACAAGTTTGCACAATCAAAGTCGCACTTCTTAGGCCATGTCATTAGTAATGGAGAGCTACGCATGGACGAGGCTAAGGTACGTGCTATCCAGGAGTGGAAGACACCTATAAAGGTAACTGAGTTGAGATCTTTCCTTGGCCTTGTTAACTACTATCATCGGTTCATCACTGGCTACTTAGCAAAGGCCACACCATTTACTGAATTGCTAAAGAAGAACAAGCCATGGGTTTGAACGGAGCATTGTCAAAAGGTGTTTGAAGGCCTTAAGGCAGTTGTAACAGAGGAACCAGTCTTAGCGTTACCTGACTTTGCCAAGACATTTGAGGTGCACATAGATGCCTCAGACTTTGCCATTGGGGGTGTCCTGATACAGGATAAGTATCCCATAACTTTTGAGAGCCGCAAGCTAAATGAGATGGAGCGACGCTACACAGTGCAAGAGAAGGAGATGTCTACCATTATACATTGCCTTCGTACATGGCGACATTATTGCTCGGGTCGAGGTTCATGGTCAAACCGACAATATGGCTACTAGCTACTTTCAGACGCAGAAGAAGCTCACACCAAAACAAGCTAGGTGGCAGGATTTCTTGGCCGAGTTTGATTATGTGCTGGAGTACAAGCCGGGCAAAGGTAATGCTGTAGCCGATGCCTTGAGCCAGAAAGCTGAGCTTGCTGCCATCACTTCAGCAAGTTGGGACATTCGTGAGACTATAAAAGAAGGTATGCAACATGATCCAGCAGCCAAATAGCTTATAGAGTTAGCCAACCGGGGCAAGACGAGATGTTTTTGGGTAGAAGACGGCCTATTGCTTACTACGGGTCGGCGGGTTTACGTGCCTAAGTTTGGAGACATTAGATGGCAGATCATAAGGGAGAGTCATGACACAATGTGGGCTGGTCATCCAGGCCAATGTCGCACTAGGGCCTTGGTTGAGTCAGTCTACTATTGGCCACGCATGCAAAATGACATAGAGTGTTATGTGCAGACTTGTCTTGTCTGTCAGCAGGACAAGGTTGAGCAACAGTAGCCCGGATGACTTTTGGAACAGTTACCAGTCGTAGAGCGTCCATGGGAGAGCGTGACTATGGACTTTATCACTTGTCTACCGAAGTACGATGGTTATGGTACTATTATGGTGGTCGTAGATAGATTTTCTAAATATGCCACCTTCATGCCTGCCTCACCAGGTTGCACCGCCAAGGAAGCCGCCAAGTTATTCTTTAAGAAAGTGGTAAAGTATTGGGGCTTACCAAGGCATATTATCAGTCATCGAGACCCCCGTTTTACTAGGAACTTTTGGAGAGAGTTATTCGACATACTTGGCACGGAATTGCACTTTTCTACTAGTTTCCACCCACATACGGATGGACAAACAGAACGGGTCAATGCCTTACTAGAATGCTACTTGAGGCATTATGTAAGCGCGCATCAGAAAGATTGGGCAAGGCTCCTAAACATCGCCCAATTCTCTTATAACTTGCAGTGGAGTAAGTCCACGGGGCGGACACCATTTGAGCTAGCCACAGGCCAACAACCACAAACTCCACATTCATTACCAGCCGCATTCGAGGGAAAGAGTTTGGGGGCTTATCATATGGCCAAAGGATGGGAGGAGCAGCTTTACACTACTAAGTCCTACTTGGATAAGGCAGCTAAAAAGATGAAGAAGTTTTCGGACCGTAAGCGGCGCCCCACGGACTATAGAGTTGGGAACATGGTCATGGTAAACTTTAACCTAAGACAGTTCAAGGCACTACGAGGCATGCATCAAAATCTGATTCGCAAGTATGAGGGGCCATTTAAGATCGTCGCCAAGGTAGGCAAGATCTCATACAAGCTTGACATGCCATCGTATCTTAAGATCTACCCTGTCTTCCATGCCAGCATGCTTAAACTATATCATGAAGATAAGGATGATCCGAGTAGGGGCCAATCAAGTCGAGCGCCTATTACTATCACCGCCTCGCATGATCGGGAGATTGAGGGTATCATGGATTACCAGGCCTGGCGAAAACAAGGGCAAAAAGCCACCGCTATGTTCCTCGTCCATTGGAAGGGGCAATCACCGGAGGAGGCCACGTGGGAACGTTATGAAGACTTATGGAAATTCAAAGATAAAATCCGAGAGTTCATGCAACAACATTGCGTCGCGGTCGTCGCAATATTAGGTGGGAGAGTGCGTGATGAGCCTCCATGTCATCATGCCACATAAACGCCATTTGGCATATATTAATGCCATGTGGAAGCTTACATAGGAGGAAGGCTAGCATTTGTGAGAAGATTCTAGAGAAGTATGGACATTTTCTTAGGAAGATCCTAGATCCCTATAGATTTGCTAGGGAAGTCCTTCAATCTTCTACGTTTGGAGAGAGTTCTTGAGAAAACCTTTATCTTGTAAATACTAAAGACTTGTGTAACAATTAATATATACACACCAGCCCCTAGGAGACTAGTATATAAAGGGGGCCGCTCATTTTTAATTCACGAAGCAAACAATTCTCTCTCTAATACAAAGCTTCCTTTAACAATTCTCTTGTGTTCTTTCTACCATTCTCTTAGCGATCTTAAATGTAGTAAGGCTGACTTGGCATAGTAAGAACGTGAGCAAATTGTGCAAGATCGTGAGCAAGTTGTCAAGTGCCGCACGTGTACTTAGTTAACGACTAAGGACGTGACAATATACTAAAAAAGATAATTTATTGGATGCTCAACAAAAAAAAAATCAAACATTTGGCTCAACGAAAAAAAGGGTGTGACTTTGGTGAATGAAGTTGTCTTTGCTAGGAGCCCTTCCCCAAGTGGCTTTTCCTGACGCTAATTTGGATTAGTCATATTTTTATCTTTCCGGCTTTATCTAGTTGTACTTTCACGACCAAACTACCCTTCCCTCAAACTAAAACAGTACACACTGTCTCAAAGCTACAACCATAAAATCATTAAAGCTAAGCCCCTTTATCATCATCGTCCCCAATAGGGTTTTACTAGGGTTTCTATTTCACACATACACTTGCACACATATTCTCCGTTCAACATGTCTCCAATTTCCGGCCGTCACGGGCCGTCGGAGCTAACGGCGGAGGGAATCGCAGCCTCAGGCCTCACATCCGAAAAACTAAGCTTACCAAATCTACAATCAAAGATGAAATGCGATCCAGAAGGTTACGAATCAGAACTAACGTTAGTATACAATCAATTCAAATCCTCAATGGAACTATTCGAACAACAAGCCGCACTTAATTTCACTTCCCTTAGCGGTGTGTCCACTGACCCTACGGTTTCAAAGGACTTAGGTGAACGTGCGATGTTTTTATCACACGTTACGCCTTTTTACCCTAAACAGCTCGTTAATTTCCCTAAAGAGTTAGCTCAGTTGCTTCGTTCTTCGGCGAGGACTTTGCCTTCTGGGTTACGTGTTCATGTTACTCAAGCTCTGATTTTGCTACTTAATCGAAAGGTATCGCTCCTCAATCTGACTTTCTATTTAATAATGCACTCCAGTTCGTTTTATATGTGATGATATTTGATTGAGCATAGAGTTTAGGATGTTAATTTGACTTGTTTAGAAAATATTGAAGTATTGGTTGAAAAGAGAAAAAAGCATCGCCTCAGTAGAATATATAAAGAATTTCTAGTGTTTATATTACTCAAGCTCTAAGTCTACTCATTAATAGAAATGTATCGATTCTCATTTATTTTTACTCTTGTTAGCACTTTTATTTCCTATGCTTTTTTAGGAGTTGTTTAGCCCTTTAGAAATTTATACCTCAGTAGAAAATATAAAGAACTTCTAGTGTTTATGTTACTCAAGCTCTAATTCTACTAATTAATCGAAAGGAATTCTATCCTCAATTTTTAGGTCATTTTAGCACTTTTTTACTTTACATCCTATGCTTTTTTAGGAGTTGTTTAGCCTTTCGGAGATTTGTACGTCAGTAGAAAATATAAAGAACTTCTAGTCTTTGTATTACCCGAGCTCTAATTGTACTCACTAATCGAAAGGTATCGATGCTCAATTGTATTTTTATGGAATGTTAGCACTTTTACTTTACATCCTAAGCTTTTTTAGGAGTCGTTTAGCCTTTTAGAGATTTAATACCTCATTAGAAAATATAATGAACTTCTAGTGTTTATATTAATCAAGCTCTATTGCTCTAATTCTACTCATTAATTGGAAGTATGCTAGTGCTCCTCAATTTTATATATTTAGTCATGTTAGCACTTTTGCTTTATGTTCCATACTTTTTCTAGGAGTTGTTTAACAGAGATTTATATGACAGTAGAAAATATAAAGAACCTCTAGTGTTTATAGTACTCAAGCTTTAATTCTACTCATTAATCGAAAGGTGTGCTCCTCAATTTGATTTTCTAGTCATGTTAGAACTTTTGCTTTACATTCCATGCTTTTCAAGGAGTAGTTTAGCCTTTCAGAGATTTATATGTCAATAGAAAATATAAAGAACTTCTAGTGTTTTTTTAATTGTTAATTATATTCATGTATAATCTGAGATGAGTTTATATGGAGTATATGGTCGGTCATGATTCATATAGGATACAACTGACCCCAACTTATTCGGGATTGAGACTAGTTCTACTCTAATCGAAAGGTATCACTACTTGAATAAGGAAATTTATTAAAGTAGGATCGGCACTAAGCGAATCCTTCAATGATGTAATTACAAACTGTGCAATTCGTCGATTGTGTATAACATGGTACCTACGTCCTGAGTAAAAGCCGAATTGCACCAAAGAGCTGGCAAAGTAAAAGCTGTAAACTTAAAGGCTATGAGTGTTTCTTTTGCTGCCTTAAAAAATTCTGCTATTTTTTTCTGTCCAGACTATCCACCAAATAACTTGTGTGATGGTATTCCAAATTTTAAGGGGCTTTTTGTTGAGTCCATTTCTATACCAACACAAGAGAAGCTCCTAATTAGAGTTTGGCATGGTCCTTCGTATGCCAGGTGTAGCAAGAAATAGACTCCACAACTCTTTAGTTGTTGTTGTTGTACTAGTTCCTCGATTTTATATGGGATGATGTTTGATTGAGCGCAAAGTTTAAGATGTTAATTTGACTTGATAAGTAAATATCAAAGTAATGGTTGCAAAGAGGAAAAAACATCACCCTTCAAGCGTTATGTTTTTATACAAAAATAACAACAACAACTATTACTATGTTTATAACTTTATAGGCAGTGGGTCCGGGTCCAACCAGTGGTGGCAATTTCAACCCGAAATAGTTCGACTCACCCAACTGGCCATGATAGGAACACATCCAAACTACCCATTTAAACTATGGTTTAATATAGGTTAAACCCATTTTCAACCAATACTAAAATGGTTTATTCAGTCGAAAATAGGTCACCTGCTTTCCTGTTGGTTCTTTTAATTGTTTGCGGAACTACAAACTAATAGGAAAATAGCATATTTTGTTGGTGCATGACGCAAAAGTAGATTTTGATTTTTTCAAAACCAAGGAAGTACTGCTCCTCGATGTTTTTTCAATGGTCCGTCCAAAGAAATCCATAAAATTCGAAGGAGAAGGATAAGCTTGGCATGGTCCTGCCTAGGATGATTCTGAAATCAAGATTTCGTTTTATTTTGTCCTTTCTTGTTCATGTCAGGATAATTGCAATAATATGTGTATCACATAGTAACTGAAGGCTCACTCAACATGGATGTGTTAGTCATGAAAAAACCAATTGAATACCTTTGTAATCAAGTTGGTTAAAGAATTAATGTAGATCAATATTGATGAAATATTACCCGACAAATTAATAAAGGAAATAATGTAGATCAACCTTGACAATATGTTTTCTTTCAGATTGTTGACATTGGGGAGACACTTGCATTGTTCATGGAGCTCCAGACTCTGGGGGATAGGGTTTTGAGAAAATTGGCTTTCTCACATATTGTCCATAGTATTAGACGTTTGAATCAGAAGCACAAGAATGATACAAAGAATCGGGCACTTCAGAATATTTTGTTTGCCTTGCTACAGGTTTGGTTCCGCCTTTTTCTATTGTAATGCCTTCTGAACCTTTTGGTTGAAAATTGACATTCTTCTTATTTGGGATACTAAAATGTGATAGCAAGAGGATGAAGCGAAAGCAAAAAGAGCACTCATCACACTTTGTGAACTTCATCGGAGAAAAGTGTGGTTTGATGATAGAACAGCAAATGCTGTATGTTCGGCATGCTTTCATTCATCATCGAGGTAGGCATTGTTGCTAATTGTTGCTCACTGAATTCATCAGTTTACAACTAAAGCTCTTGTTTACATTCCTCAGGATTATGGTTGCTTCTTTATCCTTTATTCTTGATTATGAGAAAATTGAAGACGACTCAGATAGTGATATGGCAGATAGTGAAGATGAGCAGACAGCCACTCAGCCTCAGGTTGTGGTAAATAAAGAGGCTATTTATAAGGTTGGTTCTCATATTAAATTCTCATGTATATCATTCATTAAATGGTTATTTAAATTCATGTCAGCATTTTTTTCACTCTTTATTTTTTATTCTATGAGATTATTGATCATATTAAGCACTAGTATAAAATAATGGCTCAAGATTTTGTGCATTCCGGTTTAGATTGGAAAGCATGCATATGAGTTTCTTGCACTCACTGATCCTTCTGTTTTGGAGTGGAATAATCAGTTTCCAAATTTGGATCTGCAAATTTAGGATCTGCTTACAACTGTTATCTCTGGCTTTCAATACTTAACTTAGTTCGAAATCTCAAGAGAGTAGTGAAAGTTTGCCCTCTGTTGTGGTAAATATTCATCAAATCTGTTGTACTTACTCTGCGTGCACGTCTAGGCAAATAATAAGGGTACATCAGCCAGCAAAAGGAAAAAGCAAGCAAAGTTGCAGCGTGTCGTCCGCAGCATGAAGAAGCAGCAGCGCATGCAATCTGACAATAACAGCACTGGTTATTCTTCCCCATTAAACCACTTAAAGGATGCACAGGTTTTTTTAGTTCTTAGTACTCTATGATGCAGTCTTTGTGATTTGGAATCTGTGGAAAAGATACCCATGGTACATATTTTCATGCAGGGATTTGCTGAAAAGCTGTTCTCACGTCTTCAGACTTGCAATGAGAGGTTTGAGGTAGATTGCCCTTCTTTATTTCCTGTAGTTTTGCTTTGTTGCAACTGGACTGGACTTCCCAATGTAGTATTTTCCTTTGGGGGCCATCCTTGAAACTACATATTTGTTCATTTCCCGTCTCCCTCCAGGTTAAGATGATGATGCTGAAAGTAATTGCCCGAACAGTTGGGCTTCATCACTTGATTTTGTTGAACTTTTATCCTTACCTTCAGAGATATGTTCAGGTATTTTAAATTTCCTTTGGCATCACAGTTTATATATCTTTTGGCGGTGTTCTTTCATGTTCATACTTAAGGTTGGTCCATGGATGTTCTTATCATTGCAGCCCCATCAGCGTGATGTGACAAATTTGCTTGCTGCAGCAGTTCAGGCATGTCATGATATGGTATGGTGCTTTTTGTTCTGCAATTTTTTGGCTTCTTTTGATAAACTTGCTAGCCTTCTCCTGCTCAGATGATATCTTTTCTTGACCAGGTGCCTCCTGATGCAGTTGAACCATTATTTAAACAAATAGTCAATCAGTTCGTGCATGACCGTTCAAGACCCGAGGTATCCGAAATGACCTCATATCTCATTAGGATCATATATGTTGTACGTAAACAAAATTAATGCTCTATCTGTATTTGAAATTTCCAGGCTATATCTGTTGGAATCAATGTAATTCGAGAAATATGTTTACGCATGCCTTTGGTATGTATAATGTTTGCCCAAGTATTTGGCATTTATAATATACGGTCTTACGTGTTGGTACATTCACAACTTTTTTCATTTCATCCTTTTTTTTTAGTTGATGACAGAAGATTTGCTGCAAGACCTTGTGTTGTATAAAAAATCAAATGAGAAGGCAGTTTCGTCATCGGCTCGATCACTTCTTACTTTGTTCAGGGAGGTACAACAAATTGCCTTCTTTCCCTCTCTCTCCTAAAATATAGTACATGTTAAGAATCAGTGAAGTTTTATTTGGCTCGACGGTGACAATTGCTTGCAGGTTTGCCCTTCACTTCTAGTTAAGAAGGATAGAGGACGCCCTACTAACCCAAAAGCAAGGCCTAAGGCATTTGGTGAGGTTAGTGTTGCCAGCAGCATTCCGGGCATTGAGTTGCTGGAGCAGGAGGATACTGACGGTGATGATGATATAGAGGAAGGATCTGTTGGCTTGTCTGACCATGATGATCAAAGTGATGAAGATGTTGACCCTGGCGAAGATGATGCTTCCGATGGTGAATCTGGTGACTCTAGTGGTTATGATTGTGAAATTGATGATGCATGTGATACTGATGAACATGACAAAGCGCAAGCTGCTGAAGAATTCTCAGAAAATGATGATGCCATTGATAGTGCTGATGCCACTGAAGATGATGAGAGTGATGGTGAAGAAGAGGATATTGATGACAGTAAAATGCAGGATAATAATAGCTGGGCTTCTGAAGAGGATGATGTGGATGAAAAGGAATCTAAAGGAATAAAAAGGAAAATATCTGATATTGATGTAAATGCCGCCAGTAATAGCCTTCGTGCTTTAAAGAAATTAGCAGGGGCGAAAATGGAACATAACTCCTTGAATATGGAGGATGGTATTCTATCTAATGAGGACTTCCAAAGAATCAAAGAACTCAAGGTATGCTGATTCTGAAGAAACTCAAGCCCACTTGCAATGAATTCTTCATTTATGTTCCATGACCTTACAAGTTCTAATGCCCTGAACTTCCTCCTACAGAAGCAGATATTTTTATTGCTGTAACATTTCTCTGTTTTTGCTCATAGGCTAAAAAGGATGCGAGGACTGTTTTAGCACAACATGGATTTAAGATTCCCAGCTCTGACCAGCTTAGTACTAAAAGAGTTGATGCTGCTAAACTTGAGGTTAGGTGCCAGACACTTTCACAGCATTTATTTTTCTGCAGTCAATATTGTATTTGGAATTACGAATTGGTTCAAGAAAATGCTTCCCCCACGAAAAAAATAGGGGAGAATGAAAAAGAAAATGCTTCCCTCAATGTTAAGCTGATAAAAGAGGATTTTAGATTGTGCTGCAGTAGCTTTCAAATTCTGGTTGCTGGACACAAACTTTTGTCCCCTTTTGTTTGATTTACTTTAGGAGTTGGCTGTTTTGTTTCTTGTTACTTGCAATCTTCTGCCCTAACAGTGTTGCATCTTATGCTATTATTTCTACTACTTTAGGCTAACATACGAAAGAAGCTTAGCAAGGAAGAACGACTGGCGATTATTAGGGCTGGCAGAGAGGATAGAGGGAGATACCAGGCTAAAACAGCTCTGAAAAAGAAGAAGGTACTTCTGTTGTTTGTAAATGATTTCATTTACTAGAGCTTAGCATTGCATATTTCTAAATTTCTCTTATTCGGTAATTCCTAGTTCCGTGATGTAATGTTTTGTTTTTGCCCAGCTTTTTGTTACTATTTGCCAAGTTTCGGAGCTAATTAACTATTTTTTTGTTTAAGAATGGGGAACTCAGCATTTCATAAGGAACTCTACACTTAATACATAGTAAGCTGCCCCCCCCCCCCCCCCCCCCCAC